TCCCCAGGCCAGTCCTTTTCCTCCCTCTTCCTCCCCTTTGCCTGGGGTCCTTTCCCCACGGCCCCTGGCTTCTGGCGGGCCAGCACTCGCCTTGTGCACTGTTCCAAAGACACCGGAACCAAGCACTTTGAGCTTCCGCAGCTCTGTCTCTTTGAAGATTCTGGCCAAGACCTTGTTGGCCTTCTCTCTGGGATCCAGAGGCTCTATACTCTGAGGAGCACAGAGGGAGGAAGTCGTCAGGAAAGCTCACTCCCAGGTTCCACTTCACCCCTCCCTCTCAGTGGTGTTGAAGGCAGAGCATCCAAAGGACCGGGAGCAAGAAGAGTCTTTAGGCTGGATGGGCCCAAAGGTCTACTGAGAAATACGAGACCCTGAAAACGGAGGAAGGTGCTTGTGCCACAAGATCACGAGGGCTGGGTTTTCTCTTGATCAAGAAAAGTCGGCAGTAAGGTCTCCTGGGTGCTAGAAACCATGCGCGTAAGTTTATCAGAGCCCTTCCGCACACACCCTCCTTTTTCACTCCTATACCCATCGTCAGGGGGAATGCTGTTTCCTCTATAGCTGCTCCCCCAAAGTCAGGCGGCAAATTAATCACAGAAACAGGGCTAGAAGGAGTGTTTCCGGCCAGCGTCCTTCCTATTAGGCCATGCTACTTCCTCGAAGGAAAGGAATCAAGTCTCCATGAAGAAAGGGTTCAAATCTTAGAGAGTGAAAAAATACGTAGGATAAGTACTCACTTCACCACGCTCCAAGTAGCGCCTCATGGCCCTTTTATTCTGGATCCTGCGCCCACGCCAGTAGAGGAAAGTGCCAGCCAGGATCAGGGAAGTCATAGTAAATCCTACCACCAACGCCAAAGCCATTGCCAGATGGGTTTTGCTATCGGATAGAGAGAAGCCCAACGTTACCCCACAGCAGTGGCTCTCAGCCCTCCTCGTGCCGCGACCCTTTCATACAGGTCCTCATGTTGTGGTGACCCCCAGCCATAACACTATTTACATCGCTACTTCATACCTACAATTTTGCTACTGTTAGGAATCGGGCGACCCCTGTGAAAGGGTTACTCGACACCCCCCTCCCCCAAAGGGGTCACAAGCCACAGATTGAGAACTGCTGTCCTAGAGCTACCCCTTCCCTACACACACCACCTGTACCTGTGAGAAAGGTATGGTGCAGATGCAGGGCAAGAAGTCAAAATGCACACCTACCACACACACACACACCTACCACACACACACACACACACACACACACACACACGCACACACACAGGAGGGAGTGGGCTTCAAAAAGTTCATGGAAAATGGAATTTAAAATGATGGAATTTCCCCCAAAAACTTTTTGAAGCATATATATGAAGGTGTTTAGGGGGCACAGAGATTAGAAGGTTTGGCTGTTAACCAAAAAGCAGGTAGTTCAAATCCACCAATCTGATTATGTAAGGCTTTCTGGCTGTGGAAACCCTACGAGAGAGTTCTACTCTGTACTACAAGGCCTGGGGTCAGAGTCAATGGCAGTGGGCTTTATCTGTATGTAACAGCAAGGCAATTTTAGGAAGGGAAGGTCAGGAACTTGGATTGTGTGTGTGTGTGTGTGTGTGTGCGCGCGCGCCTGCACTCTTATGTCCCCCACCCGATGCTGCCAGCCAACTGTGTACAGAAGGCCAGAATGAATACAGATTCACTCTTCCCGGTAGGTAATTGCCTTCTCCCTAGATCCTCTCACAAAGATCCCCAATTTCTTGAATCACCAAGGCCATCATACCTGATCAGCGCCTGTGTTTGGCCTAAGCAATCTTGTAGGTCTGGTCCCTTACACCTGCAAAGGAGAGTCACCCACTTAAATGGGAGCTTGGACAACAGAGGGTCAATTGCCACAACCTTCATATCTGAAAGCTTATTTCAAACCCTATCACATCATCCCAGCCCAGAGCCCAAAACACATAGCCCGAGACAGAGCCTACATCTCTCCTTGCTAGCCCGCCCTCAGCAAAGCTGATTCCAGGTTCCCCAAACCATCGGGCGATCGTGTGCTGATAAGAGTTTCCTTTCAGCCAATCCTTCATTACACAGCTGGAACGGTTCTTAGATCACAGTCCTTTGGACCTCTCTTCCCATCATCGGATCACTGACCCTTGGGTGCAGTTCTCATGGCAGGGTCGGCATTCATGCTGAGCATCCGGGTACTTGTAGATGGGACCCTTGGCGCCTAGTACTCCATGGGGACAGCTGCTCACACAGTGGAGCCCATCCCAAAAATGGGCACACTTGGTGCAAGCCTCAGAGCCCTGGGTGGAAAAGAGAGGGTCAGAGAGACCGGCGCCCGCTGGGCAATCCCATTCCTCCCAGCAAGGCCCAACCCTGTCATTTAGCATGACCTGGGCCCCAGTGTGGGCCTTGGCTTTTAGTTA